CAGATGCCCGAGCCACCTCAACTGGTTGTTGATGTTGTTTAGGCCAATATGCAAATATGTGCAAAATGTGTTGAAGAAATCATTAACAAAATTTAATCTCATCCAAAAATAGCGTCTAGAGATGAATTTGATATTTAATACAATTTTAGAAGCACCGTTGAAAGAAGAAGAAATGGGGAAATTTGAATATGAATAAATAGTAAGTAAGTAGTAGTAAGTAATGTTTATATAGCGCATTTTACAGACCAAGGTCACCCAAAGCGTTTACAATGTTCAGAGTTCAGATATTGTTCCAATCATTCCCCACACGGAGATGACGGAAGCGAGTCGCCGAACACACTGGACCATCAGCCCCCAATCAACACCATCCATTCACTCTCTCATTTACATTCATACCTATTGTGCATGTTTTTAGTGGTAGGGGAACCCGGAGCACCAGGAGAAAACCTATGCAGACACGGGGAGAACATGCAAACTTCACTCAGAGAGGCCCTGTTCCGACCAGGATTCGGACCCAGGACCTCCTTGCTGAGAGGCGAGAGTGCTATCCACTCAGCCACCGTGCCTCCTACATATACACATTACTTACGCGCTCCTTATAGGCAAAGTGGGTAGGGTGTCTTGCCCAAGGACACAACAACAGCAGACATCAGTGGGAGTCGGTGGAGAAGGTCTCGTGGTGGGCTCAAACCCATGTCTTTCAGGCTCAAAGGCTCTACCAACTGAGCCACTGTTGCGTTTCTATTAATAATGTCAATGTATGTATACCTATAAAGTTATATCAAAATAGTATTTCAGATTTCTCATTTGCATGTAGCCGCGGGTAGACCAGTCGTTTGAATTACACTTTGTGAGTTTGCTCATTAGTGTTGCCACGAAGACGAAATGTTGAATCTAAAAAGGCACAGAGTTACACACCGTGCCAGAAGAAACAAAATATTTAAACCACACACAGCAACCTTTCTCGACATTTCTTACGAATTAAATTGCCTGAAACATTCCATGTTCAACTCTTCAGAGGCTCATTCATTTAGTGGCAGTGCTCAGTTTGGCTGTAAGGCTCATTACACTGGCGTTTAAATGCATGCCACGGCTGAGGACGTCTCTCTGCAGGAGGCTTTCACTTCACAGATCAGAACATTTATTTCCCATCGTTTGAAAGCTGTGGCTGCGGGACGCCTGAAACCCCCTCTCTGAATATTGAAGTTTTATCTCACCTGAAAATACATGGTTTAGTCATCTATGCTCAGCACGACTACAGAGTTTAAACTAGTAAATGACCAGGTATAAACTTAGCCAAATGAATTAAACCGCTTGTAAAGAGGGACCAAACATAAGAGAAAGCGTAAGCTTTGGTGAACAGAGGTCGACACAAGGAGAATCGAGGTCTAAAATCATAGGGACTGTATATAATTGGAAATGATAACCTGCTAGCTCGATGAGCTCAGTGAGGGGGTGCTTGGCGATCAATGTTTTGCTTCCAACTTGCTCTGCTTGACATACATTAAAAAGAAAAACATGTAACAATATGTGTCACGCTTATTTTTGGTAAGAGTGTCGTTTAAAATCTGTAGTTCTGCACTCTCTATTTTCCTGTGGTTTATATTCTGATATTGTCTTTGTAAATCCTGCATGCGAGCAGTTTAAGGATTGTCCAATCAGATTCAGATTCAGATTCAGATTTACATTTATTTGCCCATTTGCAGTAAAACCACAGGGAAAACTGTTGCAAGGACTACCCCGGGTGCACCAGAACAGAGAAAGCCTTCATTTGTGAAAACTCCAGCTTGCCTTAGCAACCGTCTGAGCGTCACATTTGCCCCTGTTATGCCCCGAAGCTAACGCATCAGAACAAATGCCCATATAAGATGGGCTCCAGCTGCATTGTGTTCAAATCGGCTTCAGTCCACATGCAGCAAACAATGGTGACGTCCTGCACTCGGTCCCACTCCTAATAGTCTCAGAGGATCTTAACCAAAGTTTGTCGATTTTCCAACAGATCAGAGAGACACAAACAGTCTCGAACATAGGACCGGCATCACTCACAGGGAGCCGAGGTCAATTAGGAAGGTGGAATGGACAAATGTGGTATAAATGTTAATATATAAAGTTTATTAATGATTCCGGATCATTCAGTATTTTATTGAAAATATTTACCCTTGAAATGCTTAATAAACAACTTGTGATTGCTCTCAAATTATCTCTTTTTTAGTACACAGAAAAAGACCAGTGTTTATTGTTATTTACCAGCCTTACAAAGAAAAATATATTCCAACTCAACCCTCGCTGTATTCTAACAAAGATGGTGACCATAAACTAACTTGCAGAAGTAACTCAAAGGTAGTTTTCATCTTTTTAAATAAGTTATATCTCCATGGCAACAAGAGGTCAACGCTCCTCTAGGGGAAAAAAAGTTGCCCAATTCAATCATTACCATTACGTGTATATTTGTACAAAAATTTTATTAATAAATAGTAACACAAAAAAAAACATAAATTAAATAGCTCATGCTGATGCTGATATGTTCTATAATCAATTATGTTGTTACGCCACAAACCAGGACTGGCTAGTTAGTATACAATTTCCGCGTTTTTAAGCTGCTCTAACTTAACCAAAGCATTTTATCAAACGTATGCATCTTTAAAAAGTGTGCATAATTTAGTTCTTACCTCTGAAATGAACTGTTCTTGCAACACATCCACAAAAAGCTCGCGTAAAATCCAACTTGTTGCTTCTCCCGCTGCTGCTGCACGTAATTCCAAACCAAGAGGGTTGAGAGAGACTTTTTTCCCCTTCACAAAAACCACAGGAAATACTAGACTAGTGTTTTCTTTTGTCGAGGCCCCGGGGCAACAGGTGCTGGGTTCGCGTACGTACAGGTGTCACTGCAAGGCGTCGAAAGCACCAGGAGCACCAAAAGGCCCTCCCCTCCCCTCCCTCTTTCCTGGCCGAGTGCGAGTGTCTCCTCCCCCGCAGAGACAAGGCTGATCCACCGCTGATGCCCCTGCTGATGCTGCGGAGGGGGGAAAGTGTAAAGCACGAAAATTGTCGCTTTAAGCTCTGCTGCGGTGTTAAAAGCCAAAAGGGGCTTGTTGAAACAGGCCCAAGAGTAAAGTAGATTATTTTCTATTCGTAAAGGGAAAACAAGTGAGGATTTTGCCACAAGAGGGAATCATTGTGCTTAATGGACAGTTAGAATGAAAAGATACGAAATATAAGTTATTTATTAGTAAGTAAGTTGGCCTTCTTTATTTATGTAGCACCTTTCACAGACCAAAGTCACAAAGCGCTTTACATTTGTTGTGGGCATTATTCCTCTCACTCCACACAGAGATGGGAGTGAGGTATACCAGACCTTATGTTTTTAGTGGTAGGGGAAATCTGAGCACCCGGAGGAAACCTACACAGACACAGGGAGAACACGCAAACTCCACTCAGAAAAGCCCTGTTCTGACTGGGATTTGGACCCAGGACCTTCTTGCTGAGAAGGTCCTGGGTCCAAGGGTGTCATTTCTATAATATATTCTGAGATTTTGGAGCAAATATATAATTATAATTATGTACCACTGCTTTAGAACCAAGAGGGAGATGGAGACGTATCCCGGGTAGATTAAATGTCGTAATAGTTGTGGGACTTCTTATTTTTCAGAAAGGCTTTTACCCAATGAACCTTCCTGGCCCTTGCACTCCCCCGGCAGCAGACTCCTATAGTTATTCCAAAAGTCAGGACACACACTCACGGAGTACATTACAAAAAGAGAAAATAAAATACTTCAGTTGTATGCACAGCTAAACAGAACTGATTTAATCTTGATTTGAACAATGTCAGAGTAGAAGCCCGTCTCACATTTCGAGGAAGACTGTCCCAGATTTTAGCTCTGAAACACTGCCTCCCCATGTTTAATCTTGACTCTGGGCCCCTTCAGAGTCCATGTTGCTATCCACAGATATATTTGAACTTCAAATGGGACTTTTTTGACATGTCATTGATTTACTTTTCATCAAGAATAAGACTCACCTAACTTGCACTTTGTGTCATGGTGGCTCTGTTGGGACCTTGGAGAACATGTATTGCACAACTGACCTGGTGTAGGACTTGCTCTTTTTTCTTGAGTTCATGTTTTTGTTTTGCCTGGAATTTAGAGAAAAGTATAGAATAGAATAACTTTATTGTCTATCATGCATGATGACAGAAAATTGTCTTTGGGTTGAAGTTACACACACATTCCAAGTCAAGCATACGGATTATTATTTGTAAAAAAAAAAATCTCATAAATACATTAGATTCAGTGCAAAGTTTCTCTCATTTACCAGTCTTCTCACTAAGAATGAAGCTTTTAGGCACTGCAGTAATCCACTATTAAAGATTGTACATGTTTTAATGATGTCTTTCCAAAGAAGTGAACAGCCCACAAGACAAAGTTGCTTAATACTCTGCAATAAGGAAGCACAATTCTCGTTAAGACCTTTATTTTATTCCTAAAAGCATAAATACAGAAGAAACATCTCTTAATGATAATATACATATTGTATAATTGCATAATGAAAATACTCTCTCTAAAGCTGCTTAAAAAACCACACAGCCAAAAATAAGTAGAAAATAAACTATATATTTTTTAGGATGATGCAAAATGTGAAATAATTCAAAACTAATATATCCTTCAAGATGTGACTTGAGTCTTAAAAACAGTGCTTAAAGCTGCTAATTGAACTCATCAGTAACATTATTTGAGAACTCCAGGTATATTTTTGATAAGGAAAAATGTAACATAGCTTTAAAAAAAAGACAATTCTGCATAATATGTTTCTTTTAATCCAGCATTTATAATTTGTATATTGTCATTTTCAGTCGGGCAGACGTCAGAAGATGATGGGTCTGTGTTTGTGACTGCGTATCGAGCTGTACAGTGTTGAATGAGGGATATTGAGAGCTGAAGAGCGATCGTGGAGGGTTCTGACATTTCCGTTCATTAGGAGCCAGGTATTCAGAGGGACAAACGTCACAGCAACAGCAGCTTATGAAGACGGACAGCGCCCCCTAGCAGTAGCAGACAGTAACAGTGAACATTGTCTATTTTGCATACTTGTAAGAACTGCTTTGGGCTGAGAGCTGATTGGCTGAGTGAGGGTGGTTCTCACTTTTTAAATTTTCTGTCGATCTAAAGAACTTGACAGAACCAACGTGTTTTGAGAGCGATAAACTAGTTGGATGGATTTTATTGTGCTTTGTAAGTTAAGTCCCCCAATTTTTTATCTCAGGATAATTCACATTTAGCAACTCATTTCAAATAATTTAAATCTCAATCTCTCAGGTTTTCAGTCCTAAGTAGTTTTGTCCATCTATGATTTCCTGGTCGACCATGAATTTTAATATCAACTAATTTCTGTGGGGAAAAAAGTCTAAAATCAGAAGCCGTGGAGCAAATTATTTGAATACATGTCTATTTAAAAGCGGATAAACCTTTCAGTTCTTCAGTCATAGAAGCTGTTTGGTGGTGCCTGTGTGACAAACGCCTACTTTTTCTCAACAATCTAATGGACATGTTGCAGTTCAGTCCCTACATAAAGCCCAATACATCTTCAGATAAAGATGATGTCAAACAGCAGTGCTCCTGTAAAAGCCAAGTAAACTTACCTTTTTACAGCCACACATTCGCTCAAAGAAGCAAAAAATGCAGTCATTGCTCATAGGCTTTTGCATATTTCTCGCTTGGCCTTGCAAATATAAAGCAGAGGTAGAAGCAAGGGTAGCAAAGAACAACTTGCTATTTTGAATCACCATTGAATAGCTCAGTGTTTGGTATATCTTTTGGTGTAGAGAAATTCCTTATACGGCACATATATTGAAAATAACACATATTTGATTGCATAGCCAGAGCAACGTCGGAGTTCCGATAGAGTGATAAGGCCAGAAATCGGCAACAGCGATGTTGGCATTCAGTGCAGTGCGGGTTGTAGGGGGGAATCTAATCTCCAAAATCCGGGATGTCTTCAAAGGAGTAACCGCGGTAACCTTTGGAGGCGTAGTAAGCGATTCTCAGATGGTAAAAGCCGGGGAGGAATACGAGGACGCCGATGATGATGACTGGGATGGTCCGGTCGGGATGCTGTGGACAGAGAAGTGCCAAAAATATGAAAGGGAGAAAATAAACAGTGCAGACAAATCCACTTTCTATTCTTTCTAACAATTTTATCTATTAAACATTTGAGCAACTGTACTTTGACATGAGGGTCTCAACAATTAAAAGTGGCGACGGAAAATACAACCCCCAAAAGCACTATATTGAAGAAAGACAATATAGTGTGTATGTAATGTAAGTATGATTTTTCAGACAAACAATATAATTATGGTAGAGCATTTGGTCTTTGAGCATGAAGGTCCACCCGCGAGACGTTCTCCAGCGACTCTCACTGATGTTTGCTATCGTTGTGTCCTTAGCCCCACTTTGCCTGAAGCCCCTGCTGAACGATCAAGGCTGTGCTGTCGTTAACAGAGCAGCCATCCTCCCGTGGACTCACTACCTGCAGAAGGATCCGTTAGGGGCTGGTGCTCTGTGAATTGGGCATGGATCTATAATCATAACTGGACAGCTTATAGCTGATCCACCCATGTTCTCGGGTTAGGGTTAGGGTAGGATTAAAAGGAGCTATACCCGTTTCTGCATGGTTTTTTTCAGTTTGAAAGCACTGCCCCCAACTCGCTCACAGGTCTCTCATTTCCCCTACGCTCTCCCACGAAGCCATCTAGTTTTATTTGCGATCTGATACGTATAAAAACATTAGCATTCACGCAACTTCTTGTAAGCTGTACAACAATCACTGATGAAATGGTACAAAAGCAACGCACTGCTAACAAAACTGAAAGATTACCGCGTCCAAATGTAGTCCGAGCATAGATAGTCCGAGCAGATAGTCCGAGGCAGTCCCGCTCCTGCAGGTCTCGATGTAAGCTAACGGTACGTATATTCACCCGTGCTTGATCTCTTCTTTGATCGTTTTTCCGCTTTAGTTCCCCCTTATCCTCCTCACTGTTGTGTCGTTTGTCTGCAGTTACAGCCAGAGGAGGTAGAGCCACTTTTTGCTAACATGCTGCTGTGTTTACTTGTGCTTTAGAGGCTAGAGGACACGGCCTGTTCGTAGCAGCGCTGCTCCTTGTTCTGTGATTGGAGGAGATCGGGCGTCACGCTTAGTTTCCACTCAGCACTTTTTACGACCTGAATTCATACACAGCTGAATCAATGAGCTCAAGTTTTCATTAAATTACGGATTTTATTACAACTTGTATGTAGTAATAAGCATTTTTATGAACTCATTAGAAAATAAATCGAGTAGAGCTTCTTTAAGGTGGGAGTGGTTTTGTTAAAAATATAAAGTAGGAAACATAGTGCGTCTGATTGCGATTTCGAGCCCCCACTTATAAGCTAATACAGGTTCCGGAGAATTCCCTTTTACAAAGCACTTACAAATCATAGGAATTGGTATGGACCTTTAAGATTTGTTTGTAAAAAAGGAGAATTTGCATGGGATCGGGACCAAGCCTGGAAATGAAGCCGAATGTATTTAGTACTTAGTATTTTTGTTTTTTTTTATCCTTTTTTTACTTACTCAATGACATCATGTAATGCTTTGACAAGTCTAAGTATAATTCAGATTTAGCAACTTTAACTTTAACTTTATTTCGACAAAGCAGCCATAAAATCGCTCGGGTAGTCTGTTTAAACGTTAGATTTTTTGTGTGGATGGGGGCGAAACACAAGAGATATTGTAACATGGTTCAACAAAGGCGACTTAGCATAGTAGCCCAAAACCTTAAAACCTTATGAAAGAAACTCCAAACTCCCCATTCACAAGTCTAATAACACCTGCTGAGTTCTGAAACCCCTGCGGTGGCTCCTGCCGGTGACAGCGCTCACATCGCTCTGGTGAAAGTTCAAAGTCAGGGAGACGAGAACCCGGCTGGCAGATGCACCTCGGCTGAATGAACGGCTCCACGCCCGCACCACAAGAGACCGACAGCAGCGCCTTTAAAGCAGACATACTATGCTGCAGAATCAACAACACGGCTCCCGCGTCACAAACAGACCCGGAGTTATTTTTAGCTCCATTCATGCTAATATCAAAAACTTGCCTCTTTTGTCTAATGCTCCAATCTCACCCCCCGATATACTGTGAAGAATGAGTCCGTTGTTACCTCACGCTCAGAGCCATTTTCTGCTTTTTGAGAATTAATCCAGTGACGTTCTACAGATTCAGGTTAGAAACAGTTTTGTTTAGCTGTGTGTACAACTGAAGGACTGTATTTTCACTCTTTAATGTATCGTGATTGTGGTGCCTTCTGTGATGCTTCAATGATTCATTTCTTGTTTTGTTAAGCACTCAATTACAGTAGGCAATGTTTGATGTATCCTAAAAATATCAATGCAATTTCCCCATTATATATCACATGTTGGAGGGGTTTCATTACTGCTGTTCTTTCCTGATCCACTATATGTCCTTTATATATGTATTCATATATATTCTACTTAAATGTGTTATGTTTGGGCACCTTTTTCCCCTTGGTTTTGTGTCTTATCTTTTTAGTCCAAGGATTTTTGGCAGACTTTTTTTGTAAGATTAGTATATTCTATAGGTTACATTTTTGATAACGTTTTTATTTTTGTAACCTATTTTGTATATTTTGCAGCTAGGAGGTAATATATAAAAAGGCATAGTGTTGTGTCTGAAGGTCACATATTTCAATTGATTCCACGACACTTAAGTTCTCAGACTCAGTCATTTCTGTTTACAAACTACAATACAAACTACTTTTCCACGGTGGAACCTGCCATTGTCCTTCATCTATATACATATGTAAAAGTCAATCTTGTGGACATATGCAGGGTCATATCTCATCAGCCAGAGAACATAAGGCGGGACACACCAAGGACAATTAAGTGGCTATTCTTCTCAGGAGCAGGTTCGTAGTTCCACCTCCAGGCAGCACTGGCTCATTATCACCTGGTCTGATGAGCGACAGACAAAGCCAAGGCGTCCACTTGTAAAGGACAGGGTTTCAAACATACAGTATGTGTAGGAAATATAAAGCCCCTTTCCCTTGCTATCTACTAGATGAATATGTTTGTCTGTGAAATTTACAATTTAAACATTTAATAAAAATAAAAAATATCATTAGTGCCTTCGTCTAGTGCGGTGGGTAGTTCAACCCAAGTGTTGAAAAAACGCATTTGCACATGTGTTAGTCGGCATGAGCCACATTCATTTGGCGAGTGCATTCAAAGTCCACAGTGGCTAAACTACACTGGTCCAAAAAAAAAGTATTCCCCTCGGCATTGACACACATCTGGAAGGTGGCGTTGGGCCTATAGCCAACTTTTGGACCATCCTGTAAAGCCGTTTTTGAGAGGAAAGAGGGCGGCATACAAAAGTATTCTCTTTCCGGGTACACTCCCTCCGGCTAGGAGATGTATTGCAAGCATGTCAGCGCACGTGCTTATGGACCTTTTGGAGCCGGGACCCGCCCACACTGGTTGGAACAAATAATACATGTATGAGGGGGGTATAAAAAGGTTTATGGAATGATGAATATATAGGGCTGGATGGGTTTGGTTGGTCTTTGGTACAGGTTTCATATTGAAATGAAACCTTTGGTGTCAAATGCTGAATAGAAAGAGCAACATTGTGTGTTTCGACCGCAGGGACAGACCCCCTCGGCTGCAAAGGAAGTTTCCGGTTCAGACCAACTTCTAGTTTGCTGATGTTTTGGGGACATTGTCAAAAAAGCTGATTTTGGGTATAAAGTGCAACCTGTGGAGCGGCAGTCGATCTCCGCGGGCTTCACCTGCTGCTGCTCAACAATGGCAGATGCACCGAGGCAAAAGACACAAAGACAGAGACCCCGCCAGAGCCACCACAGGGAAAGGACACGCCCCAAACACATGAAAAGAGAAGACTTCAGCAGAGCTGACACCGAATAAACTCACAAAGAGGAGCTGCTTTCCACTTTTGTATTTGCTCCGACATCACGAAAGAGTATGAAAAAAGTATGCATTGGTTGTGTTTAGCTTGTTTCATTCCTGTTCTTTTTCAACTTGTTTTTTATGTACTTGTCTGGTGCACACTGGGGACTTTTGCAAATGTATTTATATGTGGTTTTATTGAAAATGTAAAATAAAATGTATCTGAATCTTTCTTTTCTCCCCCTTATAGCTTTAGTATTTAAACATTCAAACCAAAAAAATAACCATGTAATAACGTCTATGTAACTAGTTCCTTGCTCTCAAAACAGCTTGGTTCCTTCAGTTGTATGCACAGATAAATAGAATTGTTTGTAACCTGGCCTTGATCAGTGCCAGAGTAGAAGCCTGTCTCTTGGAAAAATGTGGTTCGATGAGTAGTCAAAGTCATATACACATATACACGTATCACATCAAGGCATGCAATGTGCTGTTACTTCCGCGCTCCATATAGGCAAAGCGGGGTAAAGTGTCTTGCCCAAGGACACAACGACAGCAGTGGGTGTTGGTGAAGACTATTTAAATTTGAAATACTGCCTCCCCATGTTCAGCTCTGACTCTGGGCACCAACACGAGGCCAGTCCCTGTGCTCCTCACAGTGCCATTAAAAGTACCCCTGCTCCTCAAAGTTTGGATTTTAACTTGGATCTTAATCTAGGTCATGATCTTGTTGAAGGCAAGCAAATTAGAAGGAAAGTAATTTGACAGGAAAAATTCTCAAAACTATTATTTTAACTGAAACATTGGTCAAATCACATATGGTGGCGCTCAGCAAACGACTCTCTCCATAGAGTGAGAACAGAGGAGCACAGGTGCCATTTTAAAGTGTTTTGCTTCAGCTGATCTCTGATTGGTCGTTTAACCGTTCATCAATCCCCCCCATGAAATCAGCAGCTCGGGGACAGAGATCCGGACCCATCCTTATTTTGTAAATCCTTTTTGATTATTTTAAAATCAAACAGCTCTGCCGGATCGGGCAAGCAAAAAATGGTTCTGCCCTTGACGTCATAGTCTGAGGAGCGATAAAAAAAAGAGCGAAAGGGGAGGAGGGGACGTGGTTCTGCTGATTTGTGCCGAGAGATATTACAGTGGAC